AAGAACACAAACGCAACTATAAAAAGTTCTGCAACTAATCTTCAGACTAATTTTTTTTTCAAAAAAACCAACCTCTACCTCTTCTTTAGACACACATACAAAAAAAGCCACTGCCTAAACTTGTTACGTCCCATCAACTACCCCTACAACGAGAACTCCAGAAAAAATTTTATAATCTCAATTAAGTAATATTACGTAGACAGCGAAAAAATCTGCGCACTAATAAAGAATTTGTAATGCTCAAAAATGCACGAATACCAGTACCCACATTTACAATAGTTGAAGTAGCAGTAGAAATAATAGTAGTAGTGGTAGTAATAATAGCAGCTGTTGTTGTATCATAAATTGGAGCAGTTACATCGGTAGTGCAGGTAGTAATAACTATAATAATAACAGTTGTTGTAGTTCAAGTAGTGTGATAATGTAGATACCAAACAATGATTCTGGTTCTGATGCATGCAATCCGAAACTAATATAATAATCATAACAACAATATCCAACAATACTTAAACAGAAAAGAGAATAATGCAACATCGGAAGTTTCAACAATGATAACAACATCAAAAAGCAGCAGAAAAAGCAAAGCAAAAACACCAACAATACCAACAACCGTGACGACAGTTACGAGCTGAGAAGGAAAAAAAGATCATGAAATACGAAACAGACAGCCGTAGGACACGCAGCACACATAGGAACACACCACATACACCCACAAACAAACCGACACAATCACACATGGCAGCCAGCGTTCCAACTGCGTGCACTCTCTCCTCTTTCCTCTGTTTGCTCGCTCGCTCACACGGGACACGCAGACACACAAACACACAAACGCAGACAGACATACATACACACGGCCCAAGCTGTCTCCAACGTTCCAAACTCGATCTAGCTGCAGCCCCATACCTCTAATCTCCTTGATCAACGAACTTTCAACAAACAAAGTTCATACGTCGATTCTCCCCATCCATTTAAAAATCGTAAATAAAAACTAATTTCTTCCTTCTCAACCTAATTACTTATGTACTTATATCCGTTAAAGCAACAAAAAGACAATTCCTTTTGGGAAATATCTAATAAAACTAAACGCTTTAGAATTCAAGAGAAAAAAAACTAATCAGTACAAGAACTATATACAAAATTTTGCACCTCTTAAGACTTCTTAGTGGACAAATAAGACAGGCACCAACTGTTATTAATCAAGTAGTAATAAGAGCACAACAATTAGGCAATGTAACAGCGCATGTTGGTTTAGTACAACAAACTAAATGAAACATAGACATAGACTTACACTTACACTCACGCGTACATATACACACCAAATAACACAACGTAACACACACAGACACACACGCAAACACACAGACACACACACATACATATATAAATACACACATACAATCATACATACATACATACCAACATAAATACATTCATACAAACACATACATACACGCACACACACATCAGACACATACATACGCACTAAAACAAACAAACAGCCATAAAGGAGCAAAAAAAAAAAAAAACAAACATGGAACCGAGATACCCAAGATCAACTTTAGCTGATAAATAAACAGAATTTTCGAAGCCAAAAAAGTCTGATGAAGGCTCACCGTAATAACCTCAAGTCGATGCTCCTCTTTGAAAAAACTTGCATTTTCAGGATAATCAAATGAACATTTTAATAAAGCCGGGCAAACTTCTTTTTCCAATATCTCTGAAAAATAACAAGCTTCAGGAAGCAACAACAAAAAAACTAAAATAAAAATTACAGAATAAACCAGAAGAGAAAAATAAAGGCCAATTAATCAAGTGAAAAATAGTTCAATTTTTTTCTCTTCGGAAAAACTGAATAAACAAACCAAATTTCCCTCAAATGCCATAGACACTAAAACCAACCAAAATAGTAAAAAAATTAAGCATTTATGAGTAACGAAAGCAGACAATAAGGCAGAAAGTAGTGACAAAAACAGAAATAAATTAAGACGGCATTATCAAAGAAAGTGTTGGGAACGGTGTGCTGACAAGGAATAAACATTAAGATATATAATTAGATCTTAACCAGAGAAAGCAAATGCTTTGGAAGCAATAAAAGACAAGAAAGAAAAAAAAAA